TACAGTTTTGGTATTTTGATTAGCGTTTATTTACATTTTCCACCTCCACAGGTCCACTGTAATAACATGTTCAGCCGAGGGGTGAGGATGTTCAGACAGGCCAGCTGTTACTTCCGGTCAGGATCAGACTGGGAGGCTGACCCGATGATCTTCAGACCCACTGTTGACCGCTTGAGCCAGGGCGCCCGTTTTGTCACCGTGCCCCTCGGGGACCGCACAGCCAGTGCCATCAAATGCCGTTTCCACTTCAGTGACCTTTGGCTACTTTTCAGTGAGGTGGCCTTTCAGTCAGGTAAAAATCGTGTCATCTTCTAGTTGGTGCCTGGTCAGAAACTTTGATTTGATGCATCCCATTTTGAAGGGGAAACATTTTGAAAATGTCACCTGACCTTATATCCTTTAGTATTGTCTTGCCTTGTCTTTCTGTTACAGGCTCAGCAGTGTACAATACATCTCTGACTCCTCGCAAACATGGACACCCCACAAACACACTACCAGGTCAGCAGCTAAATCCTTTATGGTTTTTTTCTTTTAAGCAGTAGTTGTAATTTAGTGAAGTGACAGTCAGGCAGTTGAGAAAAATGCTGGCAAGAAGGAGTGCAGGCTGGTTTGATATATGGCTGCTAGGAAGAGATGTTGTAGTAAACAAAACACAGGCTGCATATAATGTTCAGTCAACCTCAAATATAATCAAAAAACTATTATATATTCAGAAAATATTCATTAATTTATGATTTAATTAATGTCCTAATTAAACTTGAATTGGTGTTATACAACTTACTATGATGTATAGTGATTTATCTCAATCTAAAAGGGTAGGCAATTACTTGTTGTTAAAAGGTGGTTCTACTACAATGTTTTCTGGTTAAACAGTGCCCCCTGCTGATAGCATTAGGAATGACTGAAATAAATGTCAGGTTTATTTGTGTAGTTGTAATGAAACATGAAGGGGATTGTGCTATGAGCATGCTCTAATAAGAAATTGAACTGTGATGGATTAAAACAAATCCACCTCAACTCATAACTCTCATCTCATTGGTCAGGGGACGATCCTACTCATAAAGTGGATGATAGCAATACCAGGATCCTGATCGGCTGCTTGGTGGCTATCATTGCCATCCTATTGACTATCATAGTCATCATCCTGTGGAGGCAGGTCTGGCAAAAGATGCTTGAAAAGGTGGGGTGTGAGGTTTTTTTCAATTCTCTTGCACTGATCTTATGTGCTTATGTTGGTAATAATTGTTGATAATGACTTAAAAGACCATATTCTTGTCTGATTGATCGGGGTTCTGTTTTGACATTGGGGGAGACATATCATCAGAGAGGGGATAAAGGAAAGGAGTTTATTATTTCATATTTATGAGACAGGCTTTATGAGCTGAAATGGACTGTAGTCCCATCGTAAACCATTACAAGCGGACAGGCAGGCAATGCCATCAGCAGCTTTTGTATATTGGTATTTTTTAAAAGTCTCCTTTCAGTGGTGATCTGGAGAAAAACCTCTCCAATATGGAACATTTTGGATTAATTCAGGGATTTGACAAAAACCTTGCAGAACATTATGTGTTTAGGGACAATGGATGTTATGTTGTATTATGAGATGGAGGTGCAACTGTCATTTTCTTATCTGTATATATAGCCTGCTCTATGTTAAGCAGGGACTTTGCCTGATGAAGACCTCGTAGTTTGAGACACTGATTGCATGAAATATTTTTGAACACATCTGACATCCATCACTGATGTCCTATAAAAACCTTGTAAGAGAAACCTTCTCTTATTATTATTTGAATTAAACAACAAATAACAGACCTCAACTCTCACACACATGTACTTTCTTAGGCATCTCGTCGGATCCTGGACGATGAACTCACAGCTCGTCTTGCGGTCCAGACCCAGGCCTTTTCCTCCCACCACTCCTCTCTGTCCAGTGAGGGTGGCTCCACCTCCAACTCCACCTATGAGAGAATCTTCCCCCTCTGCGCCGACTACCAGGAGCCGTCACGCCTTATCCGGAAACTACCTGAGTTTGCTCAGTCCACTGAACACCTTGGTAAGACTGACGCACAATGCAATCAATACTGTGGAGGTTGGCTGTAGCTATAGCAGCTGTAGTGTGTGTGTGTGTGTGTGTGTGTGTGTGTGTGTGTGTGTGTGTGTGTGTGTGTGTGTGTGTGTGTGTGTGTGTGTGCGTGTCCGTGTCCGTGTGTTTCAACATTAGGGCCAAGCACCTCCTGTCGAGCCCTTGCAACAAGTAGTTCAGACAGCGCCCCCCACTATGCAGAAGCAGACATCATCAGCCTCCAGGAGTCTGCAGACAGCGGCACCTACTCCATCGCAGCTGTCAATATGAATCTGTTTGCTGGTACCGATTCATCCATGAGAGAGTTCCCCAGAGACAAGCTCACCTTCAAGGAGAAACTGGGAGAGGGCCAGTTTGGAGAAGTATATTTAGTTTTGTCGCTCTAATGTTTGTTGGCATTGATCTGGTATTTTAGAAATATATTAGATTCATTGGGCTGTTCTCTCTCTGCCAGAGTTATGTTGATGTATCTTTATAGCTCTAATTTTGAAACCTGAATGATAGATATTGCTGTGTGGCAACAGCAGTGTGAGATGCAGCGACTATACAGTACATGCTGACAAATAGGCAACACTTAGAAGTAATAAACAGAGCTAAACAGATGGTTTCAAGTGGTGCCAAGTGGATGATGGACTAAAACAGTGCTTTTTTAAAACAGGTGCACTTGTGTGAGGCAGAGGGCATGCAGGACTTTTTGGATGAGGATTTGTCTATAGAGGGAAACAATGAGTCACCTCTGCTGGTTGCTGTGAAAACATTGCGTGAAGATGCCAACAAGAACGCAAGGTAAAAGCAGTTGGTACATCAGTCTCCAGCTGGTAGTTATTATCCATTCAATCGCCGGTCAACTGGTAAATTGTAATTGTTTGTCCCTGCTGCACCGCAGGAATGACTTCCTGAAGGAGATCCGAATCATGTCTCGTCTGAGGGACCCCAATATTGTCCGTCTGCTGGCGGTGTGTGTGGACACCGACCCACTGTGCATGATCACTGAGTACATGGAAAATGGAGACTTGAACCAGTTCCTCTGCAATCTCAGACTAAAAGAGGCTGCTGATGAAGACAAGACAGAACAGGAGGAAAACGAAGGGAAGAGTATGATCAGGTAGGTTCATATCTTCACATTAAACTCCAACACTGTGCATAAGTACACTATATACTGGACTTATTCTCTTTCTCTGTGGGGTCCTCTGCTCTGTAGCTACAGTAAACTAATTGGCATGGCTGTGCAGATCGCATCTGGTATGAAGTACTTGTCCTCTCTCAACTTTGTCCACCGTGATCTGGCGACCCGCAACTGCCTGGTGGGTAAGAACTACACCATAAAGATCGCCGATTTTGGCATGAGTCGGAACCTGTACAGAGGGGACTACTACAGGATCCAGGGACGGGCCGTTCTGCCCATTCGCTGGATGTCCTGGGAGAGCATCCTGCTGGTGAGTGCCGGATGTCTGTCAATGAAAACATAAGTACCCTATAGTTTTTCATTTTCTTTATATAGTGACATTCCTGTCAAAGGATTCAGAAAACCCAAATGGTCGATAGTGTACTGTAACATTCACATGATTTGATTGCTGATTATATTGCAGCTATGAGCCATCATCCACACTGAGTCAATGCTAGATTGTATCTGGATTCAAGCTGTCTGTTCTCTCAGGGTAAGTTCACCATGGCCAGTGACGTGTGGGCATTCGGTGTGACTCTATGGGAGATCCTGACTCTGTGTAAGGAGCAGCCCTACTCCCAGCTCTCTGACGAGCAGGTCATTGAAAACACAGGCGAGCTCTTCAGAGACCAGGGCAAGCAGGTGAGAATCACACAGATTTAGGCAACCAATCCTCTGTGGTACAATCTGTTTATGATCAGTGTCAGTTTGTTTGTGGTAATAATCAGTTTCCCATATTTTCCCTGCATCTGTATCTCACAGTGCAAAATAGTGATGCCTCATAGGCCTTGTAAAATTAATCCTACATTCATATTTGGTCTCATGCTCCCAGGTGTACCTGCCAAAGCCTCCCTGTTGTCCTGAAAGAGTGTACAGTGATCTCATGCTGAGCTGCTGGAGGAGGAACGCCAAGCAGAGGCCGAGCTTTCAGGACATACACACTCAGCTGATGGAGAGCCTGGCGTAGCAGATGGAACAGATCATTTTCTCTCTGACATGCACTGTCACATTTGCTGCCTTCAGGCTCGATTCTTTTGTAATTAATTCAGAGTCAGAAACAACCCATCAAATGTTTTCCATTAGTTTTGGGGTTTTTTTTTTTTGCTTGCTTGCCACAATGGTGCTGTAAATAATAAGATATGAGGAGAAGGTATACACTTGAACAGAGCCTTTATTGTAGATATTATGCAAAGTAGCACTATTCACACCTCTGAGTATTTATGAATTTCTTTTTATTTTCTACGCTATGTCTATTTATAGAGTACTCCATGGTAATCCTAGGGTTTGAAAAACACAATTATGAATATATTTTTTCTTTGCCATACATACATCTAAATCTATTGCACATTTATTAGAGAATGTCAGTACAGTGTGACCTTTTATGAATGTTTTTGTTTTTGCTTTTAAATGTTAAGATGGACTAATGACATTGTGATGACCGATGAGACAGGCGTTTTACTCTGCAGCATTTCACTGACATGTTTATGTCCCTCTGCAGAAATAAATGAGCTTTATATTGTTGAACAGTTGCCTTTTTAATAGCTGTCGAACCAAAAGATCCCTGTAAATAAAGAGAAATGAATGTTCACTGCTGTTTGTCCCTCTTTGCTTGTCTTTCCCTTCACACACTGGACTCATTGGACACAGTCCAAATGTCCAAAGCGTCATTTTCAAACCGTTGCACTCTTTTGGGCCTCTTCGCTCTCCGTAGTGGAAGCTGATTGGCCAGCTGTTTGCTGACATCCAACCACACCACGTATCTGCTCGTGCATATAGGCTGCTGTTTTTTTCCATCGGGATCGGACGATGGGCTGAACACACTGACAGTATATGGCTGAACCCCGCCGGCCCCCGCTGTCAGACTCTGTCCCCGCTTTCAGGCTCTGTCCCCGGGGCCCGAGCTCACCTGCAGCCGCCTCCAGCTCCTCCGCTCGGACATGGAGAGAGTTGTGGTTGTAACCGGAGCGAACAGGTGGGTCCGTCCAGCGAAGAGTAGACTGTCGGTTTGTCACCTTGTTACAAAGTGACAGCTCTCGGTAGCTGATGAACACTGAGGGTGAGTCAGTGTGTGTTAGTGCCTCTAACTATGGACTATATTAGATAATATGTATCTAATGTGTGTGAGACATGCTGTCCGGAAATGTATAACATTACAGTAAAGGTAAAGTCAAATAAAGTGGGCAGACCGATACAAGAGCCGATAGCACTTTGTGGCTGATAGTCTTTATCAGTGTTGGTGTAATTCATTTGAAGGAAACAAGCATTTACACTACAGATATGCTGTGAACGTCTCGCTCAGTAAGATACAATAGTAAGCTAACATTTTTTAAAAAGTAAAGGAAGTAAAATGTCGTGCACACTCCTCCCTAAATCCACAAACTCTTCTTTATGCTAAGCTAGGCTACTAGTGTGCCAGCTCCAGCAATTCTCTATTCCTAAATACCAAAAGTATTCCCTTGTGTCAGTAGTTTGTATTGTATACATATATACCTTTTGTTTGTCTTTAAGTTTGCTTGTAGATTATAATTTTTACATATAAAGTGTGCTTGAGTCCTTTTTTTGTGGGTTCTTTCCAAAACAGAAAACAAAAAAGTACCATCCTTTTATTTTCTCAATCCATAAATTGCATACGGTAGGAAATGTATAAAGTAAACACAACCTGGGACACAAAGGAAGATTACAAGTACACTTCAGCAAGACATTCCTATAAATAATAATACAGCATCCTCATATCCACTTTACATCTAATGCACTGGTCTGTGATATTTCAATGAAAATTATTTGTCTAAAAAAGGTCCATATTATCCACTTGCATTGTAAAAATTTGAACTCTCAAACAAATGTTTCCAATCTGCCTTTATTATGTCTTTTCCAATTGTTACTCATGGACACTTTTCTGTGTTTGCCAGTTGATTCGCTCAGTGAATCTGTGTGATCACACAGTTCCTTGGGGAAGTTTGTTTACATGCTTGTGTTTATCTGCCATCTGTCACTTTATGCAGCGGCATTGGCCTGGCCCTGTGTGAAAGGCTGCTGACGGAGGAGAGCCAGCTCCGGCTTTGTCTGGCCTGCAGAAACCTGCAGCGGGCCGAGGCTGCCCGCGCCTCTCTCCTGACCTCTCACGCTGACGCCAGCGTAGACCTGCTGCACCTCGATGTGGGCTCTGTGCAGTCCGTGCTCGCTGCTGCTCAGGAGGTCAAGGCCAGGTACGGATACCATGATACAGTGACGCCATGACACTGCCGAGACGCTGCTTTACAGCTGCTTTTTCTCTTAACTGTTACTTATGAAATAGCTATGGAATTGAGATTGATTAATTTGGGATGTTTTCCACAGGTACGGCAGAATTGACTTTCTGTATCTGAATGCAGGAATTATGCCCAATCCACAAGTGAATGTCAAAGCCTTTTTCAAGGGTCTCTTCTCCTGGTAAGATTCAAAAGCCACTTCCTGACTGCTTTGCTTTTGATTTACTTCATTTTTGCTGAAAGTTTGATGGCTATACACCAGTGCAACTTGTCCATGCTGTTGTGTAATGGTGTGCGCTATCACTGCAGGAATGTCATCAACATGTTTGCGACAGCAGAGGGTCTCTTAACTCAACAGGACCTCGTCAACTCAGATGGTCTGCAGGAAGTTTTTGCCACCAACCTCTTCGGTCACTTTCTCCTGGTACCCAACGCAATGCACACATACATGACATTTAAAAGATCATAGAAAGTCCATTAATTTGACAAAATTCTCAGTATTTTATGTTGTTGCAACATACCGTCATAGTATATGCATATGGTACCGTATTGCATATGTATATAGTTTATGCATATGGCATACTGACAGATTTGTTAGAGATGGATTCTATGCATAAAATCTTTGTATAGTAAAACATTTTAAACTAGAGCTACTTTACATTTGCCCTGTTGTCCTTTGTTTATTTGAAGCAGAAAGTTTACTGATCAAATGTTCTTGCTAACATTAGAATATTGTAGCACTGGGAAATAACCTCAGTCCATTATTTATCATTAAACAACAGTATCTGGAATATAATGAGGCAGCTATAATGATCTATGATGTCTTACCATAGATAGTGTAGATTATCTGTCACATTGTGTTGTAATCTGTATCATCATTACCCATGATGGCTTTGTCTCTGTGGTGTAGATCAGGGAGCTGGAGCCTCTGCTGTGTAAGACAGACCATGTGTCCAGGGTCGTGTGGACCTCCTCGAGTAACGCCCGCCGCTCTGCCTTCAGCATGGAGGACATGGAGCACAGAAATGGGACGGAGCCCTACAGCTCCTCAAAGTACGCATCAGACCTGCTCAGCCTGGCGCTAAACAGGCACAAGAACAGCCAGGTTGGTCCGTCACACAGTCTACAGATTACTGACACAGCACTCTGACTCATTTTCTTGCGTTGACGTCCTCTCACACAAATGTTGCGTTTAGACAAAAGATTACAGAATATTTAGCAAAGGCAAAATCAGAAAACTTCCCTTACAGTACATATATTTAGTTATCTTTTAATCATTAGCCTATATAATAGTACATGCATGCTTCAGTTTATAAAAAAGATTATACCATCTATTTTACAGAACCTGCACCTAATTTCTTTATTCTTCTTAATGTAGAGTCCTCCCCAACTGTGACTTAATGTGAAGTATTTACTGAGTATGCAGTTGGTGTTTTAAACTGGACATATTAGGCTGTATTGGTCAAAGGACTCACATTACTCAGTAGGAACAATTTTCATCCAAACTAAACTTTTTCTACTTTTCCCACTAAAATCTTCTTTACTTCATTTATAATCTCGCTCTCCTGTACCTATGGAACCAAAAAGGAGGGCTGCTTTCTGTGAAGGTTTTAATTAGTAGATCACATTACAATCCCTTTAGCTCCTTCTTTTCTTGAAAGAAGTTAAACAATGGTCTTTGCAGGACTAACACCCCAAATCTCCCCCCAAAAACAAACCAAACACTCACCTCCTTTAGGCTATAAAAGTGGCTGCAAAGGTTTGTTGTTTTGTCGTTCACACAGATAATTAAGCTTGAATTATGTCGGTTGAAATAAATCCCACTGGTTGCAAGTAACAGATCTCTAGATCAAGAGTATCTTACTGTATATACAGTAGATATAGCATACAAACATAATAATAATATATGGACATAACAAAAAAGAGTGAAAGAATCACCTCCTTAGCCTTTAATAATCACAGTGTCCTTTATTCGTCCTCCTAATAATCAGAATTGATAGAAACATTTTATGAAGGCTAGAAACACCACACACATCCTTTAATTAATCATTCCTCTGTCATGTAAATGCCAGTTTTTTTCTTCTCTTTGCGACAGGGGCTGTTCTCCTCTGTAATATGTCCAGGACTGGTGATGACTAATCTGACGTACGGCATCCTCCCCTCCGGCTTCTGGACTCTCATTATGCCCATTATGTGGCTGGTGAGTGAGCATGGTTTTTAATCCTCTGCGTTAAACAGGACTGAAGTTGCATATGAACTGTTTCATGCTATTGTGACATATTCTCTGTTCGAGCAGATTAGGATCTTCACCAACACGTTCACACTTACACCATACAACGGAGCGGAGGCACTGGTATGTTTTCAACCTCTTCTGTCGTTGTCCGTATGAAAATACTTCAAGGACACACTTCAAGGATTCACATCTCTACAATGACATTCTCTCTGGCTTTTCACAGCACTGGTTGTTTCTTCAAAAGCCAGAGTCTCTGGATCCAAGAGCAAAGTATCACAGTTTAACATCAGGACTTGGAACAAACTACACTCAGCCTCGACAGGTGAGTAACCAGAAATCATTGCTTCTACAGACATTATGCTGCTCAAGTCTGCTGTTTGTGAACCTCAGATAAGCTACATAAATATTGAAGAAATTAAATTTATCCATAAGAAACATACTGGGATCAGCAACCTGCTGCTGAAGATGCTTTATTTACATGTAATTAATGCAGACTTTCTGTCTCTTTTTTGTTAATGTTTCAGATGGACATTGATGAAGGAACGTCTGAAGTCCTCTATTCAAAACTTCTTGAACTTGAGAAAGTAGTAAGAAGGACACTGAGTGAGAGCAATGCTGACAAAGAATCTGATGGACAGTGAGACAGAGTAGACGTGATTCTTTTGTGATGGAAGGTTTCTGCTCTTGGGAAATGAACCATGTACAATTTGTGAAGAAGAACAATAACAGTGCTCTTATTCTTTTCATTCTTGCCAGTTGTACCATTGAGTTATTTTTGTTTGTCGTCTTTTCCACAAAATTACCCACATGAGCTAATGTGCCTATTGCAGAGTTTATATCTGAATAACAACTTTTTTTATTTCTTTTTTTATAAACCGTAATGGGGTTGGGGTTGTTGGGTCTTGGTCAGAACGAGTTCTCTTTTTGATCAGAAGATTGTGTCCAACATACGATTTTCTAAGTCCAAATTAGGTCTAAAAGTTATTCTCCTTCAGGTGGAAAAATAACAACCAGGATTCATCAAAGTTGGCAGTAGATTAGAGCTTTATTATCTTAACAGACAAACAAAGCCTGAGCCATCCATGGAAAGACTGAATTCACTCTCACAAAGCTTCTCCTTATATACTCTTGCACTCCGTCCAGCCCATCTTCTACCTTTCCAACCTATGACAGAATGGTGTAAATTCCCTTTGGAAAGACCCTAAAATTCCACCAACCTGTGGCTTTTTCGGTTCTACTAGTGTCTTATCAGTCCAATTATCCTGCACCTGTTGGGCCCATGCTCCATTCTACTGGTGTCTTGCTCGCCTAATTATCCTGCACCGTCAGGCCTATGTTCTTATCACAGAACCCACAGGCTTCATGGCCTACACCAGTAGGCCATGACATTTTCTTTTTGCTCTCCTTTCATCAGGATTACACCATTAGAATCTAATTTACTGTACTTCTATTTTTTAAAAACCATTTAATACCTTTTTCTTACACCATTATGTCACAGATGTCTTCTACTGTATTTTTAAAAACTTTATAAACTTTATAAGATGATAAGAGACTTGTGTTACAAACACACACACATTTGGTATAATCAGTGCTCATTTCTTTGCTACACAACTACACATTCTATATGTTCCACACATTAAATCAAACTTTTACTGAAAGACCATGGTGCTTACTACTTCATCAACAGTATTTGTGCTTATCATGAAATCATATAAACTTAAAACATAATGCCTTCATTAACATCCTTGTGAGCTTCTATAAATCTATTCTTCTTAACACTCAAAATCATCATTACTTAAAACATAGTGCTCTCTACTTGATTTCCAGTTATCTGTGTGAACAAACCATAGTGCTTACAACATAATATCCAAACTTTTGTGTGATTAATTGATTACTAACTTATAAAATGCACTAACCTACACTACATTTTATACTACAGGGTCATGAAGGTTGTGTGAGATCAATAACCTGCAGCAGTCTCATCTGTTGCTGCTTTCTTGTTGTAATGTAGATGCGACTGCCTGCTTGTGTGTCTTCATCTGATATCTGTATCAGGCTTCTTACCTTACAGACTTTCTTGAGGCCATTGAGCGACCACCAACATACCATCAGCTGTCATCAGTGGGTTCTTGTGCTACAAATCATACATTATGATGCACAGTTAGCGGACTGTAATGGCATGTTTAAATAAATTGAACCGCTCTTGAGGTCGGTATAAGGCCATGGTTAACTCCTACAGTCTCTAATCTGGAAAATAAAAATACATCTATTAATGTTTCATTATAGAAATCAAGAAAAGATATAGAAGAGAATACACCATCAGCCACCATCTCATCAGAAAGTTGTTATTTATTGTGAGTTATTGTAATATACTTTATTCATTGTTGAGACATATAAGATGTGATTCAGTTGCAGTCGGGGACTGACTCTAGGTAAGTGAGTTCTCTGGGGCAAATGTATTATTTTCACCATATAACCTACAAGGTAGGCTGGACAGCACTGGTGGAAAGTAATGGTGTACATTTACTCAAGTATTTACTGTACTTAAGTACAATTTTGAGGTACTTATATTGTACTTCATAATTTAGATTGTATGCTACTTTTGACTTCTTCTCCACTACATTACAGAGAGAAACATTGTACTTTTTACTACAATTGTCAGTTACTACTTTGGAGATTATGGTTTTCCTCTCAAATCATCATCAATCATATAGATTAAACTACCCAACAGAATATCTACTTAAAGTGATTGAGATTAGCTTCACCAGCAGGAACATGAAGATCCTGCTCACATGTTAAAACATCTATAAAAACAAACTAATAATACTGTGTCCCTGCAAAATGTGTCTTTACACTTTCATAGTTTAAATACATTTAGCTACTTTGACCTAAGTAACAATTTTAATGCAGTGCTTTCATTTGTAATTGGGTGTTTTTAAATAAGGTATTGCTTTAACTTAAAGATCCCTTCCAGACATGGATTAACATACATACATACAAATAGTCTGATTGGAACAAGCCGAGTTGTACCTCAAGTTAAAGCTCATATTCCTGTTGTGCTTTTTAAGTTGACCAGGCTGATAGAACTGATGTTATTGCAGATATGTCATGTATCACAGTACAGAATCTAGGTCTGAAATAGTGTCACTGTTGCCACTCTGGCAAGTTGATTCTTTAACTGTGAAATGTCCTACATGTCTCACAGCTACTATCAGCCTATAAAATATAATTTTCAGGTATTTTAATCTCTCAAAATCTGTATCAGTATCTGTCCCAAAAGTCCAGTATCAGTTGGGCTATAGTAGTAGGCCATGTAGTGTGCACAATGCTGGCAGTTTGGTTTTCTTTATTTAATATTTATTTGGGGGCTTTTTCCCTTTCTTAGATAGTACAGCTGAAGATAGGCTGAAAAGGGTATAGAGAGAGAGAGAGAGGGAAGACACGCAGGAAATGAAATGCAGAAATTAACATGCCAAAATATATCGACTGACATATATCTGTCAAGTTTATTTTCTAATCCATTACTGTGACAGCCACCTGAATCCACATTTATTAGGAATGTCAAAAGAGATCAGCTACAGCTCAACCCTAGCTCAGATGAACCAACCGCACACACACACTTTCAATCTTATTTTTTTTTACATTTTTGCTTCCATGGTATGAAACACAATCTTGATAGTGCAGCAGAGTGGTTGCAGTAGTGCCAGGCCTGTGCAGACTCAAGTGATTCATGAGTCACAAAATGTGACCGACATGTCCCTCGTGTAGTGTGTAGGTAATCCGTCATGCACAGGATGGAGTCATCAGGGATATTTTAAGGGAACAAAGGAGCATGCTAAAGGAAGGATTATTCCTATTTCAAATCCCTGTGGGAAATCTCTTGTCATGTTCAATGCAAAGGGAGGAGCCACCTTGGCATATATTCAATAGAGAACTATAGATTTTGTACAATAATTAGGGTCAAAGTTGATGTACTCATACTATTATTCTGCATTGTTGATCAAGTGAGGAATGTGTGCGACATATTTAAAATAACTTCCTGTTGAATATATTGCAGGTTGAGGACTCAACCTGCAATATATTCAACATGGGATGCAATTGTGGATTTTGGACATTTTGAGTCAGTTAGGTTGTGTATGCAGCAACTTCCTGCCAAATATACAGCACAGTAAGGACGAGTCAACATGTGAGTGAAATTCACTCGCTACAGCAGCTCCAGATACAACAACAGATAAGAAAATACACATTAAATAAAAAATAGAATAAAAAAGAAATACACTAAACACACAGAAAGGAGGTCAGAGCTGCAGCAACAGGCCACCACTCACATCTTGTATCAATCTAACTTAAAAATTTCTATTCTCTATACAGGTATAATGCATTTGAGACAATGTTTTGATTACTGACAGCTTGGGTTGATGATTTTAAGTGTTTCAAACGTGACCTTTTACAATTCTGTCTTGTGCTGCAAATTTTGACTCCAAATTTTAATTTAAAATGCATTTTATTGTTTATAGAACTGGCACATTGTCTAAATGATCTTCATTGCCAAAGAATCCCTTTGCAAAGCCATTTCATAAAAAAAAAATCTAGCCAAGTAACCGAAGCTTAAACTGGACATGAATAGGCTTTCATTCTTGACATCCATGACTAGAAAGACAGGCCTCAAGTTACACAAAGAGCCTGAGTTTATCTTCCACCAGTGTGTGCTGACTCTACTGAGGGCAGATATGTTACCACCAGCTGTTTCTCAGCATGCCCCTACTGGCCCAAAACACACCATTTGCTGCTTTTTATAAACCCACAAATCCCACTTAATCTTATGATATGTGTGTCTGTAGCATCAGTACAGCCATAGCTGCACGTCCAAGCTGCTACTGACATTTTAATAGCAGTAACTGTCTAGTATCATGTAGAGCTTATTCAGGCTCTCTAATATATATCTCTATATTTATATACATATATTGGTGTTGGATTTCAGAATTGTGTCCATATATACATCTTTAGGCAAACCATTGGACACTGCTTGAATACCATGCATTTTCCTCAGCTTATTCTCCTAGAGTTGTGTTTCGTTTTCAACCTTCTTCTCTGCGGCCCACTGTGGAACAATTGAAAGCTTCCCTTGCGAGTGACTTCCTCTCAGACATTAAACCCGGGATTATTCTAAGAGGACATGAAAGCACGTCATTACATAATGTAAATAAAAACATTGCAGCCACCGTGTGCTCAGATTGGTGCGCGCCGCACGATGTCCCGGATGGTGCTCGCACCGGAAGAGAAGGGGCAGTTCTCCCAGCCATCTTGTGGCAGCATCCAGCGAATTGTTCGCATCAAGCCTCGTAGAATCGGAGGTGAATCCCGCTGAAGGGGCGCCATCATGCCCGGACACCTGCAAGAAGGCTTCGGCTGCGTCGTAACCAACCGGTTCGACCAGTTATTGGACGATGAGTCCGACCCGTTCGAGATCCTGAAAGCTGCTGAAAACAAGAAGAAGGAGGGGGCCGCCGCTGGGTCCACCAAGACCGCAGCTCAAGCCGCGAAGCAGCCGAAGAAAGAGTCACAGAAGGACAGGAAGAACCCGCTGCTGGACAAGAAGGAGGAGTCCCAGGCTCCGGTCCCCCTGAAGAAAGAAGGTAATATTTTCAACTGCTCTTTCTCTTTTGTGCAGTGCATGTTTATTTTCATCTTTTTCGCATCCACTGTCATGTGCAGCTCCTGTTAGCTGCGCTAGCTGCTTCTGCTGCTGGTCTGAGCGGAACACAGAGTGAGGTCAACCCCTCTGACCGAGGGCAGCCTGACAGCGAGAGCTGTCTGTAGCGGGGTCACTTCACAGCTCAGGTGTATCCGCCTGCAAGGTCCTGTGTGCACAGCCGAGCCTGTGTCGCAGAGATGGTTCCCAGCATCATCCGACAGGAAGGTGTAGTGTTGGGTTACTGTCTGCTGGATGATGCTTCGTGCGCAGCTCCGTTAGCGGCTGCAGGCTCTGCAAACAAATGCGCATAATATTCACCTGCGTACTGGGAGAACTAGACAGACGGCCCTTTGTTTGGATTGATGGTTTCTCCCCTGACTGAAAACTTTTTTCTTTCAAGCGTAGTCGAATAAGCTTGAGTTCACAACCGAGTTAATGAAAAGAGAGGCCCACTGTTCGCCTGTAGTGTTTGTAGAAACTAAGTGCAGCGTGCTGTTGTTAAAGCTGCAGACAGACAGACAGACAGACAGTACAGCAGCAGCAGCTTACATACTTATGATATGATAGTGGATGGTTTACACAGTGCTGACAAACGTGCACAAACGACTACAGCAAGAAATGATGTCACTAATGGAAATGACTGTACTGGAGGGTTCACTCTCGTTGTGTATGCTCCTGTCGTTGTCAGGTATCAGGCGGGTGGGCCGAAGACCAGACCAGCAGGGCCAGCCTGGTTCCCAGCATCAGGGCGGGCAGGGTGAAGGGCGACCTGGAGACAAGAGGCCGGATCGGAGACCTCCCCGCGAGCGCCGCTTTGAGAAGCCCGCTGAGGACAAGCCTGAGGGAGGTGGAGAGTTCTCTACAGACAAGTGAGTAGCTGTGATGAACGCTGCAGAGCATATTTAAACATGCTGATTAGCTCAAGGCTGTGTGGTGCAATCACAGGATCATTGTGTGCATGCAAGCGTTTGATATAATCTCAGCTCACTTAACCTCAACATCCCAGCACAGCCGTCTTGTAAATGTCTAGTTTTTGAAGCTCGGCTGCTGCTGATATTAGCAGCAGATATATGCACGTGAGTCACATCAGCTTGTAAAGATGCTTTTTTTTGAAAATGTTCTCTGTTTGTGTCCCATCAGGCCTCCTGGAGACAGGCCCCCCAGAGGGCGTGGTGGCGGCCGTGGTGGGCGTGGTGGAAGAGGAAGGGGCATGGGCCGAGGAGACGGCTTTGACTCCCGTGGAAAACGAGACTTTGACCGACACAGCGGCACTGACAAATCGTGAGTCAGTCCTGAACTCTGAGACCTTTGCAGACCAGTGAATCCAGAAATAGAAACGTCTACTTAACCAAAGCATCCATTGTTTAATCTTTATTTATTATCAAGGGGTACCTTCATGAGCTCTTTTAACTGCTCGCCAGGACCAAGTCGCACTGTCATCAACCTTGTGTTTATTGGTCTATATACAGGTCTTTTATACTTTACAGCAAGTAACAAAGTGTTAATAATAAAAAGGGTGCTACTGATCAGGATCAGTTCTCAAGCTACTTTTAACTACACACTTTAGGTCAAAGGTTGTTGTTGGTTTCAGAATTACTGTTCACTGTGGGCTGTGAGTATTTTTAGACCACATGCATCAGTGTGTGTTTCTTTCCCTTTGGTTTGCTCCAGCAATCAGAAGAGTGAGGAGAAGCGCAGCGGCAGTGGTTCAAACAACTGGGGCAATGTGAAGGATGAAGTGAGGTGAGTGTTGGAGAAGAGACAGGTGGCCTGTTTATCTGAGCGTTGCTGTTTGCAGGATAATGATGCAAATCTGAAATTTGTTACTTACTTTGTGGTCCACATAAAGTGGCTCTCTGTGTTATTTGTGCTTATTATTCCACTTAGTGTGTAATGACACACAGTAAAGAGTGTTTTGAGCTAGCTTGTAAAGGTACCACTAAGACATAATGTTTCAGTATTGACAAGGTGGCTGTCCGTCTCTGTTCCCAGTGAGGCTGAACAGACTGCTGCCCCTGAGCCGGCCCCGGAGGGAGAAGAAAACGCACCTGCCGGCTCTGAGAACAAGTGAGTATCCATTTCCTGTCCGGTTTCAGGTGAACTTTGGACGTTCAGTAAAGCAACGTTTGAAGATACAGAGTTGTATGTCATCACACCGCTCTGTGTCACAGACAGTATCTCTGCATGTGCATTTTTGTCACAAAGCTTCTGTGCAAATGTCACTGACCTTTTGGCCTCGGGATTAGAGAGCATGTATAGAGCTAAGAGGATTGGCTGTTTGAGGTCCGACATTGTTGTGTGTGCTGGCTTTTCAGGGAAAATGAGGTTGAAGAAGTTAAAATGGAAGGCCCCAAAGAGATGACCCTGGACGAGTGGAAGGCCATGCAGGACAAAGAGCGCACCAAGGTGGAGTTCAACATCCGTAAGCCCAATGAAGGAGCCGACAGCCAGTGGAAGAAAGGATACGTGCTGCACAAGTCCAAGAGCGAAGACGTGAGTGAGGTGATTTATGAGCTGATCGAGAACAAATCTTCTCTCTCACTTTCTCTCTTCCTTCCCTTCACCACCTGCAGCTGTCTACACCACACCAGCTCTGTACAGGCCCATGTTTCAGTTCCTCACACACTTTTAGTCTTTAGGTTGTTTTTAAGTGTTTAAACATACCGTTTGACTTAGATTTGTAACATTTTAACCAGTCAAATAATATTGCTGCTTTGAAAATTTAAGCACAACAATTTGACAGTTTAACAACGAATGCATTAGTGTTTTAGAATTTTAGGAAGAGAGCAAAAAACAACAGACAACAGGAAGTATAGAATCAACAACAAACAACTTAGAAAGTAAAGTACTGATGAAGTTCAAGGCTGCAACAACCAGTTGTTTTGATTATCGATAAGTACAACCAGTTGTTTTCTCTGATAATTGTTTTGTCTGTAAAATGTAAATTATTTTTTTGTTTAATACAAATATCTCCTTATTTCATATTTAGGGAAAACAGAACAGAAACAAAAAGATAAAATGTATTGTAATGACAGAATCATCATAATTTGGATACAATTAAGACAAATCTCTCCTGCCAGCTTCTAGTCTTTACTCTGATGGTAGTACAGAAAATTCTAAAAGATCACAATTAAACAGAGGTGATATTGTAAAATGTCTTGTTTTGTCTGGCAAAATGTCATTATATTATCTAAGATGCTGGAACCGGCAAATGTTTGACTGAGTTGGTTCTCAAAATAGTTGTAGATTAATTATGAAACATAGTTAGAAAGTTGTCCGAGTACCGTGCTCTGTTTTGTGTTTTTGTTTCACGGTTGATGTATTTAAATAGTTTGCTTACTTCTGTGTAGAATTCCCATGCTTGTGTGTCTCCAGCTGATCTGACATTGTATTAATGAAAGACCTTCTGCTGTCTGTACATTTCAGAGGCCTGTTGGTGCTTTGATTGACGCCGCAGAGACGGAACCAGACACACCGACTCTGTACCACAAGGTGCCCACAGCTCTCACACTCCACACCCACACAATTCATGACAACATTCAGTGTTAACCGTCTGTATGAAACCACCTTTAGAAAATGGTGAGCAGTTTAATACACCTTCAAATATTGAAAATGGGTTATTCATTTTTTTTTCTCCAGAGGAAATGAAGAATCTAAAGACAGTGTTGGTGCTAAGCAGCTAAATAACACGAAAAGAAACACAAAGAACACACACGTTCACTCACTTCATTACTGGTTTACGAACAAACCCCTCAGTACAGAGTTACAGTTAATGGCTAACATACTTTCGTCATTTGTTCTTAGCAGCCGGCCAACCCTGATGAGTCCAGTGACCACCACTTCCGTAAACCTGCCAACGACATCACATCCCAGCTGGAGATCAACTTTGGAGACCTGGGCCGCCCCGGCCGCGGGCGTGGGGGAGCCCGCGGAGGCAGGGGAGGCCGCGGTGGTGGAGGCAGCAGGACGGCACGCGGGGGAGGACGGCCCGACAAGGTAACAATAAAAAGCTGTTGTCACTGCCAACGACAATGGTTTAGTTTCCCTCACAAAAGATTTAAAACCACTGACTTGGAAAACCTGCTGTGGTATACTGAGGCCCTGAAATAACAAGACCAGTGACCACGTGCTCCACAGTGCAAAACTCACACAGGCAGTTGTACGGAGGATTTCTGTAGAGAGTGCTTAGTTTTGTTAATTTATAGTTTATTATAAGTAATAATTCAGTATTAAACTGTCTATTACCAAAGAATTACATTGCATACATTTACAAACAGTGAATTTCTGGTATTTATGCTTAAATTACTTTAACATTCAATTGTTATTATTGCTGCAGACAAATTTTTGCTATGCGATGGAAATTTACAACATTATTATTTAGCCAAATAATCACGCTCACTCATGTGACAGCATATTCTTTTAGCAAGACAATGTACAAAGAGAGGAAAAAGATTAAACAAACGACTCAAACAAACTATTTGCATATAAGCTGTAGGAACAGCCTAATACAGAGATCTTTAGAGAGTGCGAGAGAAGGTCAAACAAACTATTTACATTTTTACAAACTACACACAACACCACACCTACTGGCTGCCTGCACACAGCACAAGAGGAGAGGGAGAGGCGCCGGATTACTGTGAGCAGCATGCGTCAGAATGAATTACAATATGTATTTGAATATATTTCTCGCCTTTTCCCTGATGGTCTGAATAAGTTGCTAAATTTGTCACTCGTTACTTTTTAGAAATGTTGCTAAATCTGATGAGAAAGTTACCAAGTTGGCAACACTGTTCTGTCTGTGACTGATTTTGACATAGAAAAGAGCTTGTGCTGGGGCCACCTCACATTTTTTTAATTTTAACACCTAACAATTAAAATGGAATATATTCCATGACGCATTGATGTAATACTGGTAATTTATATTGTATTGTATTTCTCTCCTGTTCCAGAATTGTCCCAGACACTGTATCTTTGTGTCCCATGTGCTGTTTTTATAGCAACGGGCATCCTTAATTTTTGGGTTAGTCAGTGTCTGCCAGACAGTCGGTGTCTGTGATGTTTTACTGAAAACGATGCTTGAAAATGAACAAAAACATTAAAGCTGGAAAATCAAAAAGGTGAGCTGGAAGGCGCTATCAGACTCTGTAGAGCTGAGGAGAACTATAGATTGACTGACTGATTATCTGTGGATTTATCACTGCAAGTGACACTTTCATATACAAGAATAATGTGATCCATTTTTACTTTAACAATATTGATGATGGAATCTTTAAAGCTGGAGTAGGACATTTTTAGATCAGGTCACATTTGCTGAAACTTTCAATGTATCCTGACAGTAGTTCATGAGACAGATAATTTGTGAAAAAAAATTCACCGGGCAAAAACAAAAACAACCAATCAAAGCCAAGAAAGATGGTTTGCTTAGGACACTTTGGAAGCGTCTTTTTATCTTTCTTGGCTCTGATTGGTTGTTTTCTTTCATGCCTGCTGGATTCTTGCAAATACCATTAGGAGCACTAGGAGGAGCCAGAGGAACCAGATTTTTGTCTTATATTATCTTTTATGTACTACTGTCACGATATAGTGACAGTTTCAGCAAATACGGCTAAAAATTACAGACTGCAGCTTTAACATAAACACTCTTAACCAAATCCTGGTTTTTGTGTGTTTGGTCCTGCAGGCTAGTGGCGTGTCAGTCCCCAACGTGGATGATCCTGAGGCCTTCCCAGCCCTGGCCTAAAGGCTCCTTTTCCACCACCAGCCCACCCATCAGCCCTTCCGGGCCCCTCCTCTACGAGGCTTGCATGCTTACCACATCTTCAAGTATATAAGAAAACAGAGAAAAAGATTTTAAATGACAAAAAAGACTGTCATCCCATACCACTCACACCACCAGAGGACTCAAATTTTACCTGTTTTAAAGGAGAACAAAAGACAAAAAAAAGGCGGAAAAAGGACCTCTTGTTACACTGAAGTTTTGTATTTAGGAACATGAAAGCAGGGATGTTTTCATACCTTTTCTTTTTTTTTTTTCAGAGATTATGCATACTTCATTGATATTTTTTTTGTGCTGCTTGAATTTATGCATTTCTGCGTTTAGGTTGAAGTGTGTGTATCTCTTCCCCTGAAGCTTCTGTGCATTTTTCCTCATGACTTCAGCTCAGTATTAAGGGGTCATCTTAGAAAAGACTTTCTACTGGAGTTTTTCTTCCCAGTAATACACACTGATGTGGTAGCACTACACTACATAGGAAACTTGTACTAGATATCTGAAGTATGGCTTAACATGCATCTAAAGTGTAATTACTCTGATCCTGACTACCCATCCTTTTGCGAGGCACAAATTCAGGATGGGTATCCAGGCAAAGGGACTTCCTACTAAAAGCTTGGTATTTTTCTGCTTGTTGTGCAGTGAAAGTAAATGCCTCTTTTCCTTTTCTCTTTTTTCCTTCTTTTTTTATTTTTTATTTTTATTTTTTAAATAGCTTGCCTTTTTTTGGTGGACCAGTGGTTAGTAATGCTTTGTATCCCCTGATCCAGATGTGCTACCTGTGTTTTCAGGGTGTCCCAGGGCCCAATGTATATCTTTAGGCTGGTCCTTGTAGGTCATACAGACTGTACTACTTGTAACTTCAGGACCACTAAGCAAATATTGTATTTTTTTTTTGTTAAGGATGAGTGAGTGCGTGTGTGCGTGTGTGAGTGAGTGTAACTAAGTGTGCGGTTGAATGTGTGAATTTGACAACTAGTTACTTAGAATTTAAGTATTCCTCTACTATGAACTTGCCATTCTCAAACAGTAGTCTGCATATTCTCATGTCTTTTGAGGATGATTGTTGAAATCTAGGTGAGAATGGGAAAATAGACAGTGGACATATCTCGTTCTTTCAGTATCTGTTATGTCTTTCAGATTTCGAAGCACTTGGTTTTATCAGCACCAGTCCTCTGAAGATTGTGTTCCCCCTTCTGTAAACCATATTTGCTGTTTGTTTGTTTATTTTATTTTATCAGTGCAGCAGCACCAATGCATAATTTGTCTGAAAGAAATGTTGGCTGTTATTGTGGAACAATCATACGCTACAGAATGTAATGTAAGTTAATGGTGCTGTTAGCCACCTGTGTCAGCATATCCAGTGAGCATTTTCTTTTAATGAAGCGGGTATATTTTACAGTGGGACGACGGGGCGGGGGGGGGATGATGAACACGATGGAGTGAATTTTAAAGCTTTACATGCTGTGCTCTGCAAAGACTTGCTGGTGATGCACTGATACAGATGGCTGGAGCAGTTTTCTTGTAGAACTGTTTGAGCCACATGACAGTGAAACTTTCTCTGCAAACATCCCTGTTCTAATAAATTGCTTTAGAGGTGTTACATGTATTCTGCCAGTGGCTGTTGGGTTGTTTAAAATCAGTACTGTGATTTTAAAGGTGTAAACAAACGTGCTGTGGACTCTTAATTGCTTGAAGCGTAATGAAGCTGTGGTAATTTCAGTACTACACTATTCCAAGTGAATGCCACATAATATACTTGGGAGGGATGTAAACAGCCCAGAAGGGTTTGATATACACTTAGTTGCCAGTTTATTTGGTACAGCTAGCCAAAACCAATGCAGTCGGATACTACAGCAGCCCTGCAATAAATCCTACCTTTCATGGAGGTTCTAATGTTGAGATTGTAGTTGAGATACTTGTTTAAATTGTACTGAGAAGTAATCTCTCTTAATATTCAGCCTTATTTATAGAAATTGATTTGATGGAGTTACTTAAGCTCAACAGCGGCACAAACATGTCCTCTAAAATGACCATTAAGTCGAGCCAACACCTCCCTAAACAGTTTCACTAGAAACTGAACATACACTTAATGAAGGTAGGATTTATGTTGTTTCATGTATCGGGCTACTGCATTCAACTCACTAGTTTTAGTTTGCTGTACTTAATAAAGTGGCAACTTTCGAGTCCAACCAACACAGATAGTTTAGTAATTTGTGTATATTGTGCAGTGTGTGTAAATGTAACCTAATTTAAATGTAACTAAATTTTTGGCTTAAAATTGTTTTGTCAGTTCTGTATCGTAGACCTAATTAACTGTTTTGAACGTCAACCTGATAATGTGTGACATAAATAAGTATTACTCTATTAAGTTGCTTTTATATGTCAAGTATAATTTAAAACAGACATTACTAATGTCACATTAGGAGTAAGGGTATTCTCAGTTTGAAGTTACACTTAGTCTGTGTTATATTTAGCTCTAAGTGAGTAAGTAAGTGTTAATGATTATAGGTTAGGTGCTAGATATTCCTGAAGTATCCAGATGTTTCACTTCTTTCTATTTCAGTGAGGCTAGATTGTTGTACGCATGTGCAGAAGGGCTCGTCGGCTTCCGCCTCATCGGTATTTATTACGTAAACGATGGCAGCGCTTCATAAACGCAGACACGAGCCCGGGGACAGAAAGCTGTCACCTGAACGAGCATCCTCCAAAACCGAAAGAGCCGCATCCGGTGACAGCTCCACGGTGTTCGTGAAACTGCTGTCTGCGGGATTTTACGGCGTCAGCTCGTTTCTCATCGTTGTCGTCAACAAAAGCGTCCTGACCAGCTACAGGTAAAGGGGCAAAGTACAAGCTACTGTGACAGGAAGCGGAGTTAGGGACACTTGACCACCCCGAATATCAGCAACGACAGCGGGATGAAGAGGTGTCAGTTTTAATGAAGGGGACAGGAAAGATGGAGGAGAGTAAGTGTAGTTAGTGTTCATACTTGTAGAGCAGTCCTCAGTGTGTTCACACAGTTTAAACTGAACGGAGCCGCAGCCAGCAGTCATATGTCCATATAGTCAGTCAGTCCCACAACGTACAGACACTCATTTAAAAGTGTTATTAGTTACAAATTAAGAGTTAAAAGCATAAGAAATGAAACCGTACAGCCTCACTAGCTAATGTTGGCTTATGTTAGCAGACTTTGGATGGACATTGCTGTGTAGCTAACATGAAGTCACTGACCTTATGAGTCCTCTCTTGTTGTTGCTACTGTTAGAGTAAGTTTTACCATGTACTATTATCTCACTGTCTCTTCTGGCTAGAGTGGCTGTTTATCAGCAAAGGTTAAATGATCACAAGTTAATATATTTATGATCATTGTCAGTGTTGTCATTTGCAGTATTGCTAAGTGCAATATCCAAATCACAGAATTGCCCTTTCTAATCTTGTTCTACAGATTTAAAAAAACATGTTTGTTTGGTGCAGACCTCAACAAATGTCACATCATCATCATGATTTATATACTTTTTTTATGTGTGAATTACATTTTTGATACACAAATCATAATTTCCACACTGGTCATGAATCATAACATAATCACAATATGATGTTTTTACCATATCATACAGTCATAGTTTTATATCACAAAGTTGCATTATTATCATTACTGAACTACACTGTGCAACAATGTGTAAGCAGTTGTTTAATGTTGCAGGAGGTCGATGTGGAGCTGATTCTAATTCACTGTATAGCAATGCATTACTGTACACTATATATGTAGTGGAGCACAGAATCTGTGAAAGTACTCAAGTAAAGCACAAGAACCTCAGTCAAACTTGAACTTAAGTACAGTCATTTAGTAAATTTACTTTTAAGTCACTTAATAGTGGAAAATATGCAAAATTATTTATTTCTTTTGGCCTAAAAACTGAGAAATACCATGTTGTGTACATGTTATTGCAGAATGTCTCCTCCTCCACAGTTAGCTTGTGTTGTGTGTTGTTGAGTATTATACATTATATTTCAGATTTCCATCTTCAACATGCGTCGGAATCGGCCAAGTAAGTTTTGTATTAAGTTAAGTCACAGATCCTTCCTGTTCACCTACACAGAGCCCGACATACTGAGTCTCTTTGCTTCAATAACTCTGCAGATGCTGGCTACAATCGTAGTTCTGAGGATGGGGAAAATGTTGGGTGTGATCTCGTTTCCAGATATGGATCTGAGTATACCGCGCAAGGTGAGAATCTGAAGTCTTTCTCTCTCTTGGACTCATCAACACACGATGATGAGAAGAATGTCATTTAAAAAAACAAAACTACTGCCTCTTTGTGTGTCTTTCCAGATGTTTCCACTGCCTCTGCTGTATGTCGGGAATCAAGTATCAGGGCTGTTCGGGACACAGCGGCTCAAGTTAGAGCTTGTTATCTATTAATTGTCGTATTATTATATTCATGAAATAACTTTTGCTTAATATGGAACCACAAAATATACCATGTTTTCCTTTCTCCTAGTTTGCCCATGTTTACAGTTTTGAGGAGGTTCAGTATTTTTCTTACCATGGTGTTTGAGGGACTCTTGCTGAAGTAAGTTAAGCTTCATGTTTCCATGGCAACATTTAACAAGAATGTTCTTGTACCTGAAAATGAATGACTTTAATAACCGCAAACCCATTTCCTTTCCTCACAGAAAGACTTACTCTACGTTGGTTAAAATCACAGTGTTTACTATGATCTTTGGTGCTTTTATTGCCGCCAGGTGAGACGGCCACACACCCACATACTTTATGATCCGGTTCACAGGCAGAAGGTGTGAACATGCATCTCACTCTCACTGTTTTTTTGTTTTTTTTTCGTAGCACTGATTTAGCTTTTGACCTTGAAGGATATGTATTTGTAATGGTGAACAATGTTCTGACAGCGGCCAGCGGGGCGTATGTGAAGCAGAAACTTGATTCCAAGGTGAGCAGAGCTGCTAATCACACTACCTCACCGCTGAGGAATGATGCAGCAGCGGTGGCTTAAGGCTTAAAGGATAACAATATATACCGCTGTTCCCACAGGAGCTGGGCAAATATGGGCTCCTCTACTACAATGCTTTAATCATGATTTTCCCCACCATGGCATACGCATACTACTCAGGGGACTTACAAACGGTAAGCTATTTTAACACAAATTGGTATTTATAGTTTAGTGTCCAGCAACTGAAGTTAGTGCTGAGAATGTCTTCTGTGTGTGTGTGTGTGTGTGTGTGTGTGTTTGCGTGCAGGCATTGGAGTATAATGGATGGACCGATCAGCTGTTTGTTGTGCAGTTTGTGCTCTCCTGCGTCATGGGGTAAACATTAGATCCATCATTCGTTAATAGATCATATCGCACATCGCTGCTCTTGTCTAATTCCTCTTCAATGTGTCGTGCAGCTTCATTTTAATGTACTCCATCATGCTGTGCACGCAGTACAACTCCGCACTCACCACCTCCATCATAGGCTGCATTAAGGTAAGTCATTACACGCTGGTCCTGCCTTCTGTGGGCTGCTGAGATTCATGAATGCAGATGTGTGCAGTGACACTGACTGTGATTCCTGCAGAATATCCTTGTGACCTACATTGGAATGGTGTTTGGTGGAGACTACATATTCACCTGGACTAACTTCATAGGTCTAAACATCAGGTAACACACACACACACACGCACTGTTTACATTTAGCTGTTGAGAAGATGGTGTTTTCTGTCTGGCAACAGATTTGTTGTTTCCCACAGCATTGCTGGGAGTCTGGTGTATTCCTACATCACCTTCACACAGGAGCAAACAAGTAAGAACAATTCAAATAATGGGAATCAAAACCTCCCTAAAAGTGTTACATCATGTTTTGTTTTACCAGTGTTTGTCATTAGTTTGGAACAAGCTGTAATATATGCAAAACTGCAGGTTTCTCAATGTTTTGCATCAAATTTAACAGAAAAGGCGTAAACCACGGAGCCCTGAGCCGACGCTGAAGAACTACGTACATCTGCAACACACATCATGTTGTCTTTGTACTGTATGTGGAGACATGCTGTTTTAAACCATGCTGTTTAAATGTTTTAACATGAGACACTGTTATCAACTTTTGTATCTATAATTAAGAAAGGTGCCTTAATTTTTCTATAACTGTAATTCACTGATTAAATGTAAAGTAATAAGTATTTTTATATTCAACAAATCAATCAAATCTAAGGATTTGGGTTTTTTTTCAATTCTGTTATACAATATTCACATGCCAGTTATTATCACTGTAATCATTCATTCCCTCCCTAGCTTTTAATTGATTCTTTGATTATTGTTAGAAAATGGTGACAAAATCTCCTTACTATGTGAAACTACTTTCAGTTGAAATGAAGCTTAGCTGAACTTGGTGATGTTCCAGACTTAAAACCTGTGTTGTCCAGATAAAACACTGTTGTGTAATGTCTAATCTCATTAGAAAGAGGTTGTTTCATAGCAGGTGAGGAAAATAATCATTTTAACATACATATGGCTTGTGAATATTGTATTTAAAAAGACAAAATATAAAATAAAACCTAAACCTGGATCAAATTCTAAAGTGTTGTGTTTTTGCTTTCCAACTCTGCAGTTTAAAAACTCAAAATACAACAACTCAGACTCATTAATACATTTATTAAATATAGCCAATGTAATTCCATTCATAGCCAGTCTTGGAATACACTTTATTCATGTCGTCATTTACAGAGAAAAAAACAAAAACAAATGGTCAACAAAGGGAAAGAAAGACTACATGGATCAACATTATCTGAGACAAACTTATCTTTAAATTTGTGAATGTAAGTTCAAAGCTGAGTACAAAGTAAACACTTAAACATTAAGCTGAACAGCTACTGTGTACCAAAACAAATGAAGGTCTTCCAGCTCACAAGCCTACATCAACCTGTTCTGTTAGACAGCTGGAAATCCACTGCTCTGTAGCCACTTACTGAAGACACAGTAAATACTGGTTGGAACTAAGCACTTGGAGTCAGCAGAGGTTTTAAACCAAAGGCAAGCAGCACACTCGACCACAATGTGTGGCTTTTTTTTTTTTATACGCACAAAAGATGAAGCTCTCTGCAACAAACATTTCGGATTGAGCAGGATCACTCAGGAATGGGAAGTGCTGCTGAACAGAGGGGGGAAAAGGAATGGCTACTTTTTTTTATTAACATCCATCTCAACAAAAAGCACAGCCTACGAGGAAGACCAGAAAATACAAAGATGGACAGACAGTTATAAAAAATGTACCAACTGCTCAAGGTAA